GACATTTCCTCAGCATCACCTGCATCACTTCCAACAGCCACTTCATGTTGATCATCTCTTACCTTAGCTTTCTTACGTTTCTTCATTGATCTCTTGGGTGATTTAACATTGGATCGTCCAACGGAGTCGGAAAGATCTTCAAGTTCATCCCCACTTTCTCCATCTATGACCAAAAGACCTTCACCTTCCGATGTTGAGCATCCATCATCAAGAATTGCCATGATCTTCTCCACACAAGATGATTTCAACTTGATCTTTTCTTGATCGACGCTCACATAGGGAATATAGTCTTTAACAGTCATCTCGATGAAGTTGCCATTTGGATCCAACATGAATGGAGTTCTTCCGGTCGGCCATACAAAAGAGTAACCAAGATCAACGCATCGCTTTCCCATGGAGAGCACGGAGGGTGTGTCCTCCAAGATGTGAGCTTCTGCTGGTTCGCTAAATGCCTCGAACTTGATGCTTGAACGTTTGGTCGAACACGTTACCCCATTTGCTGTATGGAAGTTGACGACCTTGTCATCGTATGTTGGGAGATCCATTCTACTTATCCGCGTGGATGAAATGAGATCATGGCCACTTCCAGAATCCAATATGAATCTCTTATCTCTCTCTTCAACAGGAACAGTGATACACATTGTGTTGCCCCTTTTACCATATCGACCTTCAATATGCTGAACATAGTTTTCCACAAATACTTCCCTGGACACCTCACCGTCCTCGACGTCGAGTCTGATCAGGATGTCCATGCTAGGGCCGACTATGATCAGGACTTCATCAATGTCACTGTGTTCACCCTTCTCATCGATCAGAATAGCCATTGCTTTCCCTCGGCTCGAAGCTAACCTGCATGAATAAGACCATTGCTCATCTTTCCTTATCTGATCAGTGGGCTTGCCAACTTTACCATGACCTTTGGGGATGGTTTGGGATTTCCGGCTGCACTTCACGAAGTCCTTCTTCACGTAAGTTTGAACTTGAGTTTTAGACTCATCAAATCTGATCTTCTTCTTGATCACGTTCGATGCAACCTTATGGAACGTCCCTTCATCATCACTCCAATCATGGATAAGTGCAGGAGTAGCCTTTGAGCTTGGTGCTTCAGTGTTTGGAGCAGTGTTGAATAGATGAGGATCGTGGCGTTTGTTGCATTTGTCTCCATACCGACACTTGCCCTTAGCCCAATGCCAGCACGGTTCATCAATCTTCTTGGTCTTGTTTGCCGGAGACTGACTTCTTGGAGTTCCTGGCTTCCGACCGTTGCCTTTTGCATTCTTGTTAGCATCAAATACCTTTTGGTCGTGACTGTATTCACAATCCTTGCCTTTTCTGCATGCTTTCTTGATGAAATGGAAATGGCATGGGATCTTCTTCTTGGATCTGGGGCTGGTACTTCGGCCGTTTGATCGATCCTTCCCTTTCCCTTGACCTTTTCCTTTTCCTTTTGCATGCTGTTTAGGTTGAGGTGATGGTAGAACTGGAGCTGCATCGGCCTTGGCCTTCGCCTTGGGCGCTGCCTTCTCCTTGGGAGTAGCTTTAGGCTTCGCTTTTGGATTTGCATCCGGTGCAGCAGCAGTTGGGTTCGGAGCAGGAGCTGAAGGTTTGCCGCCGCCTGCAAAGTCTCTCGCATACTTCTCTCTGGCTGCCACATGCTTGTCCTCTCTGATTCTGGAGATGTGCCTTTCGATGACATCCAACAGGTAGCGATAATTTCGTCTTTGGTCTCCTTCCATCCATGACTCGTACTGCTTGATGTCAAACATCATAAGACTCGAATTTCGAATCTTCTTGTATAGAGCGTCACGAAGCCAATCATCAGGAGGTACGTCATCCGGCATCATGTTTGATACCATCTCCATCCATTTCTCGTAGAACACTTCTAGGTTCGAGTCACCGAGATACTTCATCGATACGATGTGCTCCATGGTGAAGGATGTTTCTCGTTGACCTGGGGTTCTGAAGTGCTCCAGAATCAAAGCCAAGATTTCCCGTCCCATGACATAGGTTCCTCTTCGGCTATGACTTTGTGTTCTCAATCTCAATTTGATCGCTACATGACGGGCAACATCACCTGCTTGGGCTATCACGTTTGACAATGCGATTGACAACTTGGCGTCGATGGACTGATACCGTTGCCCCCCACTGTCATTCAACAGCTCGATGTCAGGATTAGGTCGAATAGCCGGCTGTAGCCATGCCTCCCATGCGGCTTTATCCCCGTCATTTGCCGAAAGGACAACACTCTTGATGAGATCTGATTGCCAAACCCCAAGATTCTGTTGCTTTGGCCATGGGCTAACATAGACTTTGTCAGCCTCTCGTCTTGACATTCTTGGTACTTCTTCCGCAGTGTAAGCCGCTGTGGAGACATCATCTGCTGAATCGCGTTGTGATCCTCGAACCGATGGCAAACCAGGAGGTTCAGGAGGTGGTCCTGGACCGTTAGGCCCGAAAGGGTCCGGAGGTCCATCAGGGTCAGGCGGACCGCCCCATCCACTCGGTGGCTTGTAGTATTCCCTCTCAGTTCCGCCAGCGATCTTGTTGTCAACCTCTTTCAGTAGATCAGCGATTCTTTTGCTTGATTGAGAATGCTGTGGTTGTTGAGGAGGTAAAGCATGCCCACGATAGGAATGAGCCACATTTGTCTCATAAGTCAACTCCTTGTCGATCTGCGAAACCCAAGATTTCAGGATAGCGTTTTCACAGTTAGCCTCACTCACGTCATTCTCCAGTTTGTCGATGACCAGTCTGGATGCGAGATCGGAGTTGGGAATGCCTGCCGAATAGGGAAGTGTGTCAGGACTGATCCTAGCCATAGATGTTTCAGAATCCTTGGGACTCTTTCTCAGTTCATCTAAGTGACGTTTCATGTCAACAATCTCAGAATTCTTGATGCCAATCTTTTCATCCCTATCCTGGATTTCCCCCATGAACATGCATGATCTCTCATATTGTTGAACACCACTCGCCAATTTTAATTTTCGCTCACTCTCTAGTTCAGATCTTAGAGTTCGGACCTCAGCATTGGTGAGGGACGACGCCCCTACATCCGCAACTTCAGCCAACCTTTCTTTTAACAACAAGTTCTCTTGTAAGCATTCATGAACTTCATGATCTAGATCCTGAACCCTGATTTGAGCGATCTTAGCTTGATTACGTAGATCTTCAACAAGCATCTCTTCGGGGCCACGACCGTCGGTCGTAGAACCCTGAGTCAATGATCTTCGTAACTTCGTGTTCTGCAACTTGATCTCATCCTTCAATTCGCAGTTCATCTTCTGCTCGTTGGCATAGAGCTCTTCATAGTGCTCTGCCCTTGCGATCGAGTTTGCACTAGCCTGTGATTCAAGCCTCAGGTGAGATATTGCTTCGGCCTCTTGGTTCCTGTATGATGCAATTCTTTTGACGGTATCATGTTCAGTGTTTCGATGCTTCAGATCACTTTCCAATTTGGCCTGATTTGCCTCGAACACCTTCTTCCTAGACTCTCTAGTGATCTCATCAATACTGCTCTCATACAGCTCGGCCTGTTTACGAGACTGAACCAAGGCTTCACTCAATAGCTGATTTCGCTCAGATAATTCATGAACTGCAATTGATTGTTGCTGGCTAATCACTTCAAGTTGATTACTAGAGGAGGATGCCATTTCAGATCGATTACGATATTCCATGATTGAGTTCTGGAAATCATTTTGCATTTCTTGACCTTCATTGTATAGTCGATTGGCAATATCGGTGGTTAAGACATTGGTTTGATGAAGTTGTTGTAGTCTTGCCTCCGTATTACCCAGTAGTCCTTGAAGGTGATGTACTTCATCCTTGTACTCCTCCTGGATCTCCATACCACGTTGATGGATCCGTCGTGCACCATGTTCCATTAGGGCACCTCGGCGTTCAAGGTCTTGGATGCGTATTGTTGCACCTTCATCTTCCTGAGATGCTACCATTAGTTCTGCTTGATATTCTGCAACCTCATTTGCGGAACATGACAATCTATGATTGAGTGCATTGACCTCATCAAATACATTCTGATTGTGTTCCCGAAGATACTCAGTGAACCTGATCTCGATGTCATGAATCAGTTGATCCCTGGATGCAGCGTATGCTTCCATGTTGTTCAGCTGATTACGTAGGGATTGACATTGTGCCCGTAGTTCTTCTATCATGGCAATAGGTTCACTAGCCACAGAAGTATCCGTTGATCTCCTCTTAACACGACTATCCCCGGTCCTCTCACCAATTCGGTCGGTCACGGCCCTGGTGGATCTGTCCCTTGGAGTAGTACGTCCTCGAGATGGTCGATGCCCTTGGCGGACAACATCACTCCGAGCACTGTTTCGAGAAGATCTAGGTGTACTTTGGGTGGATATTCTTCGTCTGTTTGATGTGACTTGCCATCCGGACTGTGTAGTTCGGGTAGAGCGTATCCCGCCACTGTCTGCCGTGTCGCCAGGGGAAGATTGATTGACCTCCTCGACCGGCATAGCAGCGTTCTCATTGAAGGTAAACTGCGTGGTGCGCGAATCTCCGCTGCTGCCTTGCATCTTTGCGATGATGAGCCGATTGGTCCTTTGCGTCCTCAATCAATTGCTCAGACGGCCCGGCTACCAGCACGCAGGTACCACTCTCCCGGCGGGAGAAGTGAGCCCTACGGCTGATAACCTGTGAACAAATTTGATCCTTGTTCTGGATTATCCCTTTTGATTGTAGTACCGGTTGTGCTGGTAGTGCAGGGCAACGTCACTGCATGGCGTTCGGAGAACGGTCTTTTTCCTCGCGCATGACTTGAGCCAAGTGATTGGCAGTCCATGCATAATTGTTTACATGCTCAGCATGTGCAGTTGCTGTATTACCTGGTTCCCTTTCGCATGTTACATATATATATATATATATATATCATATCATATCATATTCTACACTTAGTTAACACCCCTGGAACACCCAGTCGCAACTGGTCCACCGGAGCCCACCGTCGCACCGAAAAAACGACGGACGTTTTTTCACCGTACGAACGAACGACGCATTGGACACGGGCGCCCGGCACGACTCACCGCGACGCCGACTTCATCGGTTCAGCTGACTTTGGCAAACCAATAGCCTGACTTGTGTCATCAAAGATGGGCTGGGAAATCCCCAAACTAAATGGAGGCAGTATATAATATCATATATTATATATATAATAACATCATATATATAATAATGGGAAAATCATATCATATATATATAATAATCTACTCTATGAAAATTGAAGATCTTGCGGTGTATCATATATCACATTCATATATATATATATATATTATATATATTATATATTATATATATTGTATATATAATATATATTATATATATTATATATATTATATATATACAATATATTATACATTGTATATATCGTGCTATATCCCACTTTTGGAGAAACCCAGTCCCAGATTTTGCAACTAGGTGGTTGATGCCTAAGCCACCGTAGCAGGAGCATAGTGAAAGTTTCTTCTGCAAAACAAACGCCGCACCAAGTGCGAGTCAATCTGACATAATCTGACTATCAAATGTTCAGAGAATGTGGATATCTGGCATATCTGACTATCATAATCTGACTATCAAATATTTGACATAATCTGACTGAATGTCGCAATGTCCGAAAGAACATCGCGAATGGCACAAGTTGTTGCATTCCGTTGGGGGACCGCCCCAGGGTTCATTCATGTGGAGTTGACCTTCCCAGCAACACATAGATGTTTTCAAAAAATACCATCTTTAGTCTGGTTAGTCTGGTTAGTCTGGTTAGTTGAACCAATTTTATTATCATTTCACAACATGATTTCGTTTCTTGCCTGCAATCAAACATGGCCTGCTGGAAAAAGTCCCCATGTATACTTCGAGGATTTTCCCACGATTCATCAGATTTCATGGATGTTCATGGCATGGTTACCCGGCCTGGTAAACATACAAATAACTATGGAAAATCACCATTTCTAATGGGTAAATCAACTATTAATTGCCATTTCAAAGGTTTCCAGCCATGTTTGATGACACCAAATCCAGTACCCAACAAATCCAGAAGAGCCAAGGGGATTTTGCCCTACATTTTCCAGCCAAGCGGCAGGGAATGTAGGGAAAGATGTGTTCCAACCAGATATGTTGCGAAAGTCCTGGCATGTTTCGTTCGAACCTTCGCTTCTGGCACAGCAGCAGCGTCAACATACCTTAGCAAATTAAAGCAGCATCAAACCACAGAAGCAAGGTTTACCAAGACATCAGGATGTATATCATATATATTGAAATATATTAAAATATTCTATAATTAATTAATTAATTTAATTATATAATTATATATATATATATCGCTGGGAACTGACGTTTGCCCGAAATCCATGGAATTCCATGCAGGACTGCAATCTGCTGCATTCTTTGGTTACGTGTTTTTTGCATACTGCGAACATAGAAAATATTGATACTTCCTGCGTCTCATGGCATTTTTGCGCTTACCTAAGACGGTGTCAAACTCACCTGTTGAAGCATGTCTTAAAGATATCCGCCGGAATTTGCAGCGTTTCGAGCCGTTAACTAAAACCTCAACAAACCGCAAGACTTCAAAAGAACGCCAAAATAACCTACCCCTAAATAAACCCTAAATCAACGATAAATAACCCTAAATAGACCGAAAAGCATCCTAAACAACAACAAATAGCACGAAAATTAGCTAGCCATCAACAAACCCAAAAGAGAATCTAATAAACCAACCCAAAGTAAATCCTAAAACAATCTTTGATAAATCCTTAAACAAACCACAACATCAGTAAACCCCCAATGAAACTTTGGGCGAACGTCCACCTCGGAGGGATATTATATATATATTATGTATACTGAGATACATTCATGATCATTCAATTTGGAATCCTCCAGTATCTCCATGGGAGTGGACCAATCATGTCTTCAATGCTGAGACAAAACAATTGGGATTCGAGGCTAAATTGGAGACCTCGAAAATCTACCATGATCCACAGAAGATGTCTGCAGGAAATCCATGGAAATCCCATATAAGTTATCAATAGTTCTCAAAAGTTCTCGTATTCCTTCTGCCGCAACAAACAGTTCCTCAAACTGCCCAAACTCTCCCCACCCGCCACGAGGCATTTGAGAGCGCTGCGGGGGAAAAACGCACTCCGTTCGAGTGTCCATCCCGCACCCAGGCACACCTGCCGTCCAGTTGACCCTTGGGAAGATGATCAGCGAACATGAATTCACCAGTGGAATAGGGCACCCCAGGGACAAACGCATAACGCTTCCTGACCCCCACCTCAATCCACAGCTGCTGCTTGTGTTTGAGCTTGGCATTTTCCATGCTGGCGAGCTGCTCAAACTCCTGATGAAATAGCTGGCGGTTTCAACCAATCCGATGTCATGTGTGGGATCATTTTTTCCACAGAGTTGAACCTCAGAGTTGGAACCCATTATTTTGGGTGTAAACCTTGTAGGAAGCTTCCGATCCAGTATGAATCCACCTATATAGCACTCCCCATGATCCCAACGGATGTCCATGGCATCCTCAAAAAGATGACAAGTTTTCGACAACGATGGTATTGATCTCATAATGTTCAGGTTTCCAACTGTCCTATCCAGTTTGGGGTCTCTATAATGCCCATCAATACACCCCTTGATGGTAAAATTCTTGGTGCTGAGGAAACACAGAAACCTGGTTGGCAACTTAGCATAGCTTAGGTATGGGCATCAGCATGTACAAGTACAGAGAACTCCCGCTTCGCCTCCTTCATTTGGCTCCAGGGTGCCAGTTCAGCCAACTCCTTATCCTGAGCGATTTAGATAGGTCATAGGTCCCCTTCTGGCCATACGGAAAATACTAGAAAATGAGGCGTCGAAACATGAGGATTTGTTTGAGTTGCACAAGCTTTGGACAAACCCAATGTGTGTCTTTCCTCTTGAAAACTGTTGATGCCCTGGCTAAGGGGATGAACCCCATTGGTGATTCAGCCGTGTATGCCTCAAGAATGGGGTATGACTCCAAAATTGGTCATGTTTTTGCTATCAATCCATTCATATTTTGGGGGGCTCCGATCATTTCGAGCCATACCCATGTAGAAAATTGTAGAACATGAAACTCTCCAAGTTTGAAGCAGGTCTCTGCATTCTCAGGTGCCTTGGCAGCTAGCCGCCTGACCCTCCTTGGGATGGGACAGCGACATTGGGGGGTGCTCCCTCGAGCCAAACTTAAAGCTTCCAGAGGTGGGGAGTCTCATTCTTTTGGGGGGAAAAACATCTGCCTGGTGGGTTCAACCCCTGGGAAAAAATAAATAAATAAATAAACAAAATATATATATATATATATGTATACACACACATACATAAAAAGTCATCCCAAGCATGGTTGGAACATGTTGAGAATAAGAACTATTTGAAACCACCGACAGGAACTCTAACTGTCCAGAAACGTCGTACGTTGCAAGACCTTTCGACTGAAACAACTGTTCGCAACTGTTGATGGCAAAGTTGGGTCCACGATTCCAGTCCGCGCGCTGCAAGTATTGAAAATGATCAGATTGGAACTGAGCTGAACAAGGGTTTCCTGAGAAAATGATGGTACAAAACGGGCATGAGATAGCATGAGTCATATTTTCGGCCCAGCATTGCCCAGCATCTTCTTCCTGTGTCAGTTTTACAAACTGAACATTCCAACGATCAAATCTTGGGGAGTACTGCAAAAATAGCCAATGACTTGATCCAATGTGGTTGCCTTGTCATTCATGCGACGCGGGTGGTTGTGGCTGTCCCCTTTGAAAGTCACCCAAACAAATTTGGGGAATCCACCCCCAATGATCTCAAGGCGGGTATATTCCCAGTCCTCAACCTCAGACTCCACTTAGACCATCAAATTTCAGGTAACGCGGTAACGCCCAATTTTCACCCCAGGTGTGATCAAGATTTCACCATCCCATGTGATGCTAGTGGGATCACGTCCCGGCGTCTGCTTCTGCTGGTAGAGAAAGTAGCCATTGATCTGCGGCCCCGGAGCTAAGTCGATCAGCTCCTAGCCGAAGCCACCGTGATTGGTGAAGTGCTTGGGGATCATCCGAATTGAACAGCCTAGGGGGTGAATAAAAATCCCAGTCCAAGTATAGGATCCACTAAGCAGATTGGTGCTTTTAGTGTGACCCAAATCTCATGAATATGGCATGACTATGGGTCAAAATTGGTTTCCAACAAAAGACTGCTCTAGTCACCCCATCATCAGATCCAGGGGGTCAGTTCTTTTTCATTTCATACCGCATCGAGGTTACTTTCAGGTCTTATCCATGGCCCAAAAGTTCGGCAATTACCCCCAAATCCATTGGTCGCCATAAATTGGGGGTACATTGAAACCATGAGGAACTCTCAGCCACAACGCCTTAAGCACATTGAAGATGTGAAATCGCGCCATAAGCATCTGCTGGTGCACCTGCCATGGGGTTCGAGGCCGCAAAACCAGGCAACACCTACGGTTGGTTTTGATTTCCGATATGGACTTAACGAGCTAAGCGGCTAAAGGCCAACCCTTACCCAGCAAAATAAAAGATTTGCAGAATAGATCACGAAAAAATTTAAAAAAAATGTTCCATTGAAGTTCCAAAAGTGTCCTAAAGTGGACTCAGTGGACCCCTAAATCATCCAAGTCATGACCATCTGATGACCATCTGATGACCATCGTCCAGTAGTGAAAGCTATGGTGACGACTGGGGCAGCTGATGGCCTCAATGGCCCGGGAGGACAGCTGACGATAATGACGCCGAGTGGAGCCATCCATCTCCCGCCAGGTGGTGTACAAACCTTGGTGGCCAATGCAGAGACGTCCTCTATATACATAGTGATATATATCATAAATTATAACACTACACAAACAATGTAACATTACAAAGATAAATTAATCAATGTATGAAGATTTATGTATATATATGCATATTATGTATGTATGTATGTATGTATGTATGTATGTATGTATGTAGGTATGTAGGTAGGTAGGTAGGTAGGTAGGTAGGTAGGTAGGTATGTATTTGTGTATGTATGTATGTATGTATGTATGTATGTTTGGTTGTATGTATGTATGTATGTATGTAGGTAGGTATGTAGGTAGGTAGGTAGGTAGGTATGTATTTCTGTATGTATGTATGTATCTATCTATCTATCTGATCTAACCTAACCTAACCTAACCCAATCCAATCTAATCTAATCTATCTATCTATCTAATCAATCAATCAATCTATCTATCTGTCTATCTATCTATCTATCTATGTATCGTTGTATCCATGTATCTATGTATCTATGTTTCTATGTTTCTATCTATCTATCTATGTATCTCTATGTATCTATGTATGTATGTATGTATGTACGTACAGTATGGACAGTGTCACAGTATGTATGTATGTATGCATGCATGCATGTATGTATGTATGTACAGTATGACAGTACGACAGTATGTCTGTATGTATGTATGTATGTAGGTAGGAAGGTAGGTATGTATGAATGTATGTATGCATGTAGGTAGGTAGGTAGGTAGGTAGGTAGGTAAGTATGTATTTGTGTATGTATGTATGTATGTATGTATGTATGTAGGTATGTATGTCTATGTATATGTATATGTATATGTATATGTATATGTATATATATATATATATGTATATGTATATGTATATGTATATGTATATGTATGTAGGTAGGTAGGTAGGTATGTAGGTATGTAGGTATGTAGGTATGCAGGTATGCAGGTATGTAGGTATGTAGGTACGTAGGTACGTGGGTATGTAGGTATGCAGGTATGTAGGTATGTAGGTATGTAGGTATGTAGGTGTGTAGGTGTGCAGGTATGTAGGTATGTAGGTATGTAGGTAGGTATGTAGGTAGGTAGGTAGGGATGTAGGTATGTAGGTATGTAGGTATGCAGGTATGCAGGTATGCAGGTATGTAGGCATGTAGGTATGTAGGTATGGAGGTATGTAGGTGTGTAGGTAGGTAGGTATGTATGTATATATGTATGCACAGTATGACAGTATGAAAGTATGAAAGTGTGACATTATGTATGTATGTATGTATGTATGTATGTATGTATGTATGTATGTATGTATGTTTGGATGCATGCATGCATGCATGTATTTACGTATGTATGTACAGTATGACAGTATGACAGTATAACAGCATGACAATTTGACAGTATGTCACTATATATGTATGAATGTATGTATGTATGTTTGTATGTATGTATGTATGTATGTATGTATGTGTGCATGCCTGCATGCATGCACGTATGCATGTACAGTATGACAGTATGACAGTATGACACTATGTATGCACGTATGGACGTATGTATGAATGTATGTATGTATGTATGTATGTATGTATGTATGTAGTTATGTGGGTATGTAGGTATGTAGGTATGCAGGTAGGTAGGTAGGTAGGCAGGCAGGCAGGCAGGGAGGTAGGTAGGTAGTTAGGTAGGGATGTATGGATTTATTGATGTAGGCATGTGGGCATGTGGGCATGTGGGCATGCGGGCATGTGGGCATGTGGGCAGGGATTGGCTGGATTTTGGAGCCAAGAAAGGGTCACGGTTGAGCTGCATTTGCCACTGGCTCACTCTGCTCAGGTTGAGCTGCAAATGCCACTCTTTCACTCTGCTCACATGGCGGATGTCCACTCAAAGGCAAAATGCGTCTTCTATGTAACATGATGCACCGTTCCCTTGGGGAAAAGCTGAATGCAAATACGTAACAGCTGAAATCTCAAAATCAGCTTCCACGCCCAACCTCCAGTGACCCAGTCAAACAGATGTCCTTCTGATTTAAGCTTCTCAAATGACAAACATGAAGGAACTGAAATCCAAATTTAATCTTCAGGAATAGCAAAAATGATAGCCATGAGAAGGCTGAAATCTAAAGTTGCAGCCACGAAACCATCTGAAACACAGCAAAGATGAACACTGAAGTCAAGCCCCACAAGAAAGAAATTGTTGCAAAGAAGAGCTTAAATCCAGATTACAACTCTGACTGAATCTAACACCATCCAGGGACAGCTGAACTCCAGATCTGACCTAGAGAGACTGAGAGGGTCCCAGGAAACACGAACGGCTGAAATCTGGATTTGAGCCATTTGGACTCTGGAATCCAGTCAATTTCATGTGGGCATGTGGGCATGCGCGCATGTGGGCATGTGGGCATGTGGGCATGTAGGCATGTAGGTATGTAATGTAATGTAATGTAATGTAGTGTAATGTAGTGTAATGTAATGTAATGTAGTGTAATGTAGTGTAATGTAATGTAATGTAGTGTAATGTAATGTAATGTATGTATGTATGTATGTATAGTGATTCATAGTTGTGCTTTAGTTTGCTCTATAGTGGAAAATCCTGAAGTTATATCAGTGGATTTTTCACGTCAGATAGTTCTATCCGTTTTGATATTTCACCTGATATGTTCCGTTTTGTCAATACTCATACAGGGTAATGCTCATCCGTCCCATAATGGGAATCCTCCGAAATGGCAATAGGGCGATGCTTCTGATATATGAGGTTTCTTAAGTCATGGGGGATCCTCAAAATGGATGGTTTATGGGTGGAAAATCCTATTCTTCAATGGATAAGGGGGTATATCCCCATTTTAGGAAACCTCCATATATGAAGCATATCATTTACGATAGATCAGCGCACATGTTCTTTCACCCAAACAGAATGGCTGGTCCAGCTCCCAGTTAAACCATGGAACTGGTAGTGACAACCTGACGAAGAAGTATTCACAGCACTGAAGGTAGCCCCATTTCCCAAAGTTTAGGCCACATTTTGGTCACACCTAAAACGAGTCATGGCGGATGTGAAGCTTAGAATATGGAGATCGAGCCCCCTTCAGGCAAGGGAAATTTCACCTCTGGTTCTCTGGTTGCTGGTTTTATCTCATCCGAAGAATATGTGTCAAGTGGGAATCATTATCCCAAGATATGGGGCTTTCCCCAGTCGTCACCATGGGTTTCAATACTAAGTCATGGTCATCCACTGCCGAAGAACGTCCAGGACTGAAGCGTTTGTTGGAGTGTTTCTCCCAATCCTTCAAGATGCAGCGGTAACCACCAGCGCTTAAACGTTTTGTTGGTCCGGTCTAGGTCCATGTTTGCAAAACATAACGAGTTCGAACCTTATCTTTAGTGTCGGTTCATGTACTACTACTACGCAGAGAGGTTCAAAACTGAAATTTCCCCATCAAAATCCTCAAACATTGCCATAATTCTAGGCACTGATCCCCCATGTTCATATAGAAAAAAAACACAGCGTCCCGGCGGTCATCCCATGTCGAAACATCCCCGGCAGCGTCCTGTTGAATGAGATGTTGCTCCTGAGTTGGGAACATCGACTCGACCGGGTGAACGACCGGGTGTTTTCATGGCGTCTTTCACAAGGTACCCCCGTTATTAAAAAAAAAACGTCACATGGACTTGTAATGGGTTTACAAACTCTCTACTCGATGGCTTTGCTGGGGATATCATGGGATATAATATTGTGGGGATATCACCAGCATGAATTAGGGTCAAGTCATTGTGGTTCCAACGGTCCGTGCATTTTGGAAGGGCCCATAGCCTATGGGCAGAGAACAAAAAGCTTCAAGCACTCAGTCAAGGTTTGACCCTGCAAAATTCACTTGATTGTGGGTTTTCCATGAAATATTCCCCATTCTCAAACTGACCTTATCGAGTTCCGGTAAATTCCTTCCATGTTCGGATGGCGCAATGTGGAAATGTTGCGGAAACTCAGACTGCGAGTTCGAGTTGGGCGATGTCAGGGGATGTCAGGGGAACGGATCCGCACCGAAGATTTAGAGATAAAAATACAGGGGTTTATTAAAGAAACGGTAAACCCAGCGTATGGGAAAATGAGCACAATCCAATTTTGGGGTAGCCATGGGTAGCCTGCTTTTTGTGGAAGAATAGGCTATCCCCCATGTGTATCCAGATATTTGATGTTTGATCATAACTTTCCCCTATCAGAGTGGCCATTTTGGGTTGTACCACATTCCCCATTTTCAGGCACATAGAGAAGCGATAAATAAACAACCAAGAATTGACCCACCACGCCTCCCAGAATGAAAAGTTGCAGTCCCTACCAGCAACGCCAGGACCCAAGCAGTCCATCATTGCTCAAGTGAAATTATCCAATGATGCAAATATATGATACATGTATGCATGTTACTTATATATACTGTATATATATATATATGTATATGATATGCATAATATGATACACAAAATATATGTGGTATATGATGTATACAGAGGACCGTCATCTCGACGCCAAGTCATCAACGGCATCCCCCAGGATGACCTTTCCATCCCTCAGCGTCCCTGGTATCACCATTATATCAATGTATAGGTCCTACTAATTTCGATCATATATACATACATTATACATTTACACAGACATGTATATATTCATTTTATGTATATAGATATGTATATATATATATATTGAAAGTAGCGAGGTAGTATAAACACTCATAATTACTTTTTGGGCCAAACTGGCCCAAAACTGAGGCTAAAGGGATGGCAAAACCACCGGCAGAAGGGCCGGCGCAACTCAAGAAACCCGATTTCTTTGGTTTTGTGGCCGGCAAACTTAGCGGCAGAACCTGTGGTTAACTCTATGGGAACGAAAAGCAATGGCATTTGTGCCGGCAAGTCGCATGGCAGAGCATCCGAAGCAGTGATGGACAAACAAAATTAGGGGCAAATGTGCCGGCAAGAGGCCCGGCAAAGCGCGCGAACTAGCTCTGGCCAAGCCAAATATCCGGACATTTTCAATGGCAAATGTGTTCAACGCAAAAGTCAATGAAAGTTGGTACATGTTGGCACTTTTCAATGTGGAAAAGCTGAACAATGAAAATCAATATTGCACCCCCCTCTGCATGGGGTCCCAGCAAAAAAAGATCTGCTACTCCACCAGGGAAGCCATCTTAATCTTATTGGCTATTTTTTCCATAAGCTGACTTGGACAATGTGCGGGCAATTGCAAAAAGGTTTCTGCCAAGCCCCCGCCGTCTCCAACGCAAGCCCCGTCACAACTAGTCACAATTTAAGCGTTCTGGTTCCAAAACGGTTTTCAGCTGAATTGTCAGCTCAGCAGTGCTTGCCTGAGGGGCGGCGGCTGCTTGAGCAGCTTTGCTGTGAAATCAAGGTCCAAGCAACCAACTTGTCCAGTCCAATGCGCGGCGCTGGACGCTGGAGACCTTTAGCCATCAGCTTGGCAGGCGCTAGAAGCGATAATGAAAACCCGGTATGCACCTGGTGTCCGGCAGTGAACTATTGAAGTAATGCCAGGCGCATTCCAACTGGGAAGCAAATAACTACAAATAATTTATGTTGGTGCCAGGTTGTGCCTTTTGAGGCAACATTTCGACTCGGTTTGCTGCTCTTTTTTGCCTCGCATTTTTGCTAACTTGACCGGCACGTTGCCGCCTAGTTTGCAGGGGGTTCGGCCGGCTGCTTGGCCGCGGCCGAAACCACGATTTTCATCTTGTTTCTGGGGAGTGTTTATACTCCCAGGCTTACTCCAATATATATATATATATACAATTATATACATACATAATGTGTATATATATATATACACAATATGTATATATCGCCCAAGGCTCAGTCATTGGCTTTGGCACTTCTCTCAGCGCAGGCCACGGAAGTTTCAAGACGTCCTGCCGCTTCACCGCCTCGGCAGTCATCGGCTTGCAGAAGGAACGTCTTTCGGATGTCGACGGATGTGGGATGTGGGATGTGGGATGTGGGATGCATAGGGATTTAGAGTGATTCAATGGGATCTTAATGGGATATACCCTCTGGTAAAGTAACAGTTTGCTATGGAAAATGGATGAAAATGGCCCATAGAAATAGATGGTTTATAGCTGGTTTACCTATTAAAAATTGTAATGTTCTATAGCTATGTTAAATTACCAGAGGGTAAATATAGATTTACCAGACGAAATAGATGAAATAGATTGAAATATGACTATCTAAATTTACGAACAAAAAAACTAGAATAAAGATACTAAATATATGTGGGTGTGTGAAAAAAATTGAGATGTACACCCAATGTATGGCAATTTCAATTGGGGAAATGACGATGAAGCTGCTTGAAGCTGCTTGAATTTTAAGTTTTCCTGTATCGTTTTCGGAGCCAAGATGAGCCAAGGCTGCGGTTTTGACCCCTGTGCATATGTTCCATTGCCATCTTTGCTTGAGGGTAAAGCACTGGATATACCCTCCGGCAGCAACTGCTTTGTCTAAAAATGGAGGTTTTAATGGGAAAATCAACTATAAACGGTGGATTGTTCATCACCACGTCTGATTGCCAAAGGGTACAACCGCAGAACAATGGAGCAACCGTATCCACGACGTCTGTACTTAATTTCTTGAGGGAAAATCATGATTCCAGCAACGAAGCAGCAACGAGCAACGATGAGGCGGATATGCGCCAATTCAATTGAGGGAGATCAATACCAGGGATATTCATCTCCCTCGGTGAACGAAAGATCTGAAGATGGGATGACCTTTTGAACCGGAAGCTGAAGCTCATCATTTCCGAAAAAAAATGATACAGTACCCTTACCAAGACTCAATGATAATAATGTGTGTTAGTTTGCTGCTATTTCTATATTTTTGGGGAAGATCATTGGCAATCCATACCTGAAACCAGCCCCGGCCTGTGGGTCCAGTGAACCTGACGGAGCGGTGTTGATGGCCCATTTAGACCCATGGAACCACGATATACAGCTAACCGGTGACCCACAGCCGGTTGTTCCAGTGGCTGATTTGACGAATTCCGGAGTCAAAGGAAAACCACACATTTTTTGGGGGCAAAAATGGTGGAAACCTCGTGGTTTCAACAGATGTTCTCATCCAATCCACTGAATCCCCCCGTTTCACCACCATTTTTCTGCGTGTTAACCAACCGCCCCTGCCTTTCCCTTGGCGTTTGCGCCCGAAGCGCAAATCCACAGAGAGATCGCTCTGCCCAAGGTCCACCTCCTTGGGGTGTCCATCCAGTCGACTGGGGGCCCCATGACGTCATCCCCAGTAGTGAAAGCTATGGTGACTTTTGGGGATCCCCCATTAAAAAAAAAACACATATATATATATATACACATAAACATATATATATATATAGAATTACGAGGGGTTTGAGCAATTTTCAGACTCCTCTGTTATTCCATGATACTGGCTGGTTGATAGGTATCCCTAGTGCGGGGTCTAATGATTCCCAATGAACCAGGTAGTATAACTCTCCATGGATCACATGGGTTGTCTGAAAATGGTGGATACCATAATTCTACCGAATCCCCAAAGATTTCTCCAAGTTTCCCGGGTCCAGAGATCATTCAAGTTTTAAGTTGTTTTTTATATAGGTAATGTTTAATGGGGAAAAAATAGTGAAACGGCTACAAAATGGTAGAAAAATAGAAGAATTGCTAAAAATTGCTTTACTTGCCTGCAGAATTGGAGGTTGAGGAATGTTGAGGAAAACATGGTAAATTCTGTGGGTCCATTTGTAGACCGTGTTTGAGTCGTTGGGGATCTCAACTGCCAATAACTGAATGGTTATATTGCTACAAGCACCGTACTTAAGTCACATCAGGCGGGAAAAGTCACATCATCCCCATGGCACGGCGGCGATACGGAGAAGTCACATCAGGTAGTGGAAAGTCACATCAAGGAAGAAGAATCACCATGGCACAGCCTGTTTCATCTATAATTGGAGATTTAGTTAAAAGTCGCCGAAGCATTGCGCACAGCGATGATTTTGAAGGGTACAAGTTCATACAAACAATTTCTCGGCAGCTAATCCTATTGGATTTGAACATATTATATAGATGTCCCGCGTCGCGTGACCAAATCAGACCCCTATTGGTACAGCCTCAAATTTCTTGCAATGCAACTGTAGCAAATCCTATTGGCAGGGCTATGATCTAAGATGATATAAGGATATGGCAAGCAAGCAGCAGGCAAGCAAGCAGGCAAGCAAGCAGCAGGCAAGCAAGCAAGCAAGCAAGCAGGCAAGCAAGCAGGCAAGCAAGCAGGCAATCATGCAGACAGGCAAGCAGCACAGGCAAGAAGCAGGCAAGAAGCAGGCAAGAAGCAGCAGCAGCACAAGCAAGCAGCAGCAACGGGCAAGCAAGCAAGCAAGCAAGCAAGCAAGCAAGCAAGCAGGCAGGCAGGCAGGCAGGCAAGCAGGCAAGCAGGCAAGCAAGCAGCAGGCAAGCAGCAGGCAAGCAGCAGGCAAGCAGCAACCAGCATTTGTCCCCTTGAATGAATGATCAAATTTAAGTTTTAAAGATCAACGCTATACAAAAATTGAACTTTTTCCAGGCGCACGGCCCCAAAACAATGAAATCGTTCAATTACTAAAAGTTGTGGTGATGCCACACTTGAACTTTTTCCAGGCGCACGGCCTCCCGATACGACTTTTACAAGCTGATACGACTTAACGCTAGCGCTTGTAGCTATATGCTCCATGATAACCCAGAATATGTGCCCATTATATATCCCTCGAATGTCCCTACAAATGGTTCTTTGTTACCAAACATGAGCGAATCGAATCTCCATTCTGTATCCCCACTGAAAAAATTGTCATGGCGATTATTCGGCCGTCCATGGCGCCTTCCAGGGCCCCAGGCCTGAATCGGCAAGACTTCCAGTGACACGGATTCATCTGACGGAGCACGGGGTGATGAAATGGTAATGTTGAGCCGCCATAGGAGGGTTGGTCGAAGAGCTCCCCCCTACAGGCCCAAAACAATAAAAAAAGAAAGGAGCAGGAGAAGGTGAAGGAGGAAGGTTAGAGAAGGAAAGAGGGAAAAGGTGCAGACGAGGAAAATGGAGAAGACAGGAGGATAGAAGAGAACACAATGCGAGAAGAGAAAACAAGAGAAGAGTGAGAGAAGAACATAAAAGAGAAAGGAAGAGCAGCTAAGAAAAAGAGACGAGGCGAGGGATGAAGGAGCGAAAAGAAGAAAAGCCAAAAGAAAGGAGATCAGAAGAGAGAAGGAGAGAGAGAGAGAGAGAGAGAGACAGAGAGGGGAACAGAGAGAGACAGAGAGAGAGAGAGAGGAAGACAGAGAGAGAGAGAGAGAGTGGAGCGAGGAGGGATCTAAAGCATTCTCAAGCTATGGTTTACATGCGGTGGGGTGGAGCTGGTAACGTTCACTTGGACTTGCACAAAGACCGGGTGTTCATTTCGCATTCACTTTCAGTGCGGACCAAGACGAATTGGGGGTACAAGCGATCCAAATCTGGATGTACAAGCGATCCCCTTGCCCACAATTAGCCCCTACAGTTACGTTTGTAAGTTGGTTTATGTACCTATGTGTTGTACTTATGATGCATCCATAACATACACTTATATCCGTAGTTTAAAATTAATATATATATATAGCTGTCTATGTTCAAACGGGTTTGTGGAATATACAGCACACATCAGTACGCAATCTACAGACATACATATGTTACATATATTATATATGTATATATATACAATATAATACAATATATATATATACATACTGTACATAAACCAACTATATCCGCGATAACCTGCTTCAAACTGCCAGGAAAATCACCTGCCAAAGTACCCAGCTACCGGAAGCGAAGCTTCCCCACCTGCATAAACCACCGAACAAATTCGCCCAAAGAGCCGTCGACCCTGTTTCACCACCACGACCTGAAATGAAGATGGCGTCGATACCATGGGTCTAATACAATCCCTGCCTACCCTCCAGTATACCAAGATAGCTATGGAAAATTGCTCGTTGAAAGATGATTTATCATGATTTATCTATTTTTTAAAGATAATGTTCCACTATGTTGGTTTACCAGAGGGTAATATTTTAAACCCCTCAAGAAAGCATGGTTTTGTGGGGAATTTACACATATCTGGGAATGGAAATGATCACGTTTACTCCGTGGAAATTTAACATAGCTATGGAAAAGCACCATGTTTGATAGATGAAGATTCTATAAATGGGCCATATTACATAGCTATGTCCAATTACCAGAGGGTGACCATCAAAATTTGGATTGAATTGGAAAATTGGGGATACCCTCTGGTGTCATCAAACATGGCTGCCGCAGCCTGAAGATCCAATAATAATCATAATATACATGAGTTGTTAATAGGAAAACATCGAGCTGAATGGTGGATGCAAACCAGCAAACCAGCTGTGATCATCATTTCATGTTGTTATCCCCATCTCCCTTTCAATGATTTATCCTCAATATATCCCTTGATGAGTTCTATATTTGGATGATGGCCCCACAACTCGGCGACATAAAAATAAAAACTGTAACTGGCAGGGTGACACCAAAGATTGGTCCCTAAGCTTGGATAAGGTTGGGTCCTAGAACAAATATGTATATAGTATATATATATAATTATTACATACATCATATAGTTACATATGCAATATAATCATACTATATAATGTATATATATAATGTGTATATCTATGAATTATACATATATATATATATTATGTGTATATATATATATGTTTGTGTATATATATATATATATTATGTATATATATATTATGTATATATATATATTATGAAAGTGCAAATACAGTGTATATATATAATGTATATATATTATGTATACATATGATGTATACATATAATGTATACGTATAATGTATACATAAAATGTATATATATATATATATTTATTATATGTATTATGTAATATTATGTGTGTATATGTATACTATGTAAATATTGAAATAATATGTACATATATATTATGTACATATATATTATGTACATATATATTATGTACATATATATTATGTACATATATATCATGTATATATATTTTCTATATATATATATGCTTATCTATATATATATATACATATTATATATATGTATTATGTATATATATATATATTATGTATATATATATATATTATGTATATATATATTATGTAATATTATGTATATATAATATATATTATGTAAATATATTATGTAAATATTATATGTATATATAATATATAATATGTAAATATATATATATATTATGTACATATATATTATGTATATATATATGTATATTATGTGTATATAATGTATATCAATATTATTATATCATATATATATATATTATGTATATATATATACATATTATGTGTATGATGTGTATATATTATGTGTATGATGTGAATATATATTATGTATATATATATATACATATTATGTGTATGATGTGTATGTATTATGTGTATGATGTGAATATATATTATGTATATATATAAAGACTCGAGAGCTCCCACTCTTTTTGGACACGGCAAGACCTGATTGGTCAAATAACATCACCTTTCACAGCTTTAAAAAAAGGTCCCAAACCCCTAGGACCAGGACTGGTCTCAACTTCACCTCAAACTCAAAACACAGAACCTTCAGGTATCACACCTGCTACTCCCCCCACAACATCCTCGCCAGGCCGAGGTATGTGTGAGCTAAAGAGTGTTAGGTAGCACTGGGCCCCGCCAGACCGGGGAACAGCCAGTCCGCCTACCCTTTTTTATCTCTTTTGCGAGATTTTTTGTGCTTGGAGTTTGTACTCCCCCAAAGGACCAAAATTGGGGGGGAGGCTGAGGGAGCTGAGCCGAAACTACAAAGAAAAAGTGCTGTCCACTCTCTCTTCTTTAATTCCGAGGTCGTTCTTTCAAAGACTCGAGAGCTCCCACTCTTTTTGGACACGGCAAGACCTGATTGGTCAAATAACATCACCTTTCACAGCTTTAAAAAAAGGTCAAACCCCTAGGACCAGGACTGGTCTCAACTTCACCTCAAACTCAAAACACAGAACCTTCAGGTATCACACCTGCTACTCCCCCCACAACATCCTCGCCAGGCCGAGGTATGTGTGAGCTAAAGAGTGTTAGGTAGCACTGGGCCCCGCCAGACCGGGGAACAGCCAGTCCGCCTACCCTTTTTTATCTCTTTTGCGAGATTTTTTGTGCTTGGAGTTTGTACTCCCACTTCCCCCTGCCCTGCCACTAGTGGCAAGCTCAAGTTTTGGCAAGGGAGAAGACATTGACCGGAGAAATTGTTTGTGAAACGCACGGCAATGAGGAGATAAAGTCAATTCAGACTCTGCAAGGGTGGCTAACCCACTGTTGATATAGACGCGAGCAGTTTTGGCTGACTGCCAGCGCCCTTGAATGAGCAAACGATCTGCGGCCCTCGCCCTCACTCCAAAGAAACTCCAAATACTCTGACACAATAGGATCAAGGTGAAGCTGCCTTGGTAGCAGAATGTCATGATCCCGCAAATATTGGTAAAACTGATTGACTGCCTTGGTGTATCTCTCCTTGGTCTTCAGCTGCACGGTCAGGTGCTTAAGGGTTCCCAATTTTGCTCTAGTAGCCTTACGATCTGCTTTGCTTTTCCCCTCCACATGCTGCTTCACTTTCTTCCCCATTTGCGCCGAAAGCGCCCCCGAGAGGGGGCATCAGCTGGATTCAAGGCTGTATGGACATAGGTCCAAACAGCTGCGTTTTGGGAGAGAAGAAGCAAAGCATTGATCCGGGCTACAGTTCGCCGAAGCTTTCGGCTACTAGTTCGGCCTCTAGTGAGGGTATGGAGACACACTAGGGAGTCCGTAAGGTGCACCAATCGATGACCCCTTGTCTTCTGTTTGAGGATTCTCCAACGAAGGGCACAGAGGACGGCTCGCATCTCCAAATTGTTGATATGTTCTTTGGACCCTTTCCAGGTCCAGCCACACACCGTCCGCCAAACCCACAGATTCGAGGGTATGCTTGCCCTCAGTCGATGATACCGTAAGGTATCTTCACTGGCGGAGGAGATCAGAATATCCTCACCCTTAATACTGACCATATTGAGAAGCTTCTTGACCAAGGCTAACTCCTTTCCAGGCACCAGCTGCTTCCGAGGACCACTCATCGGCGGTCTAGTCAGAAAAGTGGCCAGGTCAACAGTGTTGCCTGGGGCTGTCCGTTCGATACACTGCTGCACTTTCAGGGGGGCGATAATTCCCAGAGGGGCACACAACTGCCCAAGCAACCAAGTCACCACAGTAACATTCCATGTGTCACCGAGGAGCGAAAGCCTCGCGTCCTGATGCTCCGTGGTGCCCTGTTGCGATTTGGGCATGCACTGAAGGGTATACTGGCGTGGGAACCCAAGGATCACTTCCCTTTCCTCAATATTTACCAAACGATGCTCATCACCACGGTGAACCTGAAAACAATATTGGTATTGATAAGGAGGGAATCGAAAAGCGTCCTCCTCCCATTGTTTCCTGTCGTCAGGTGAAAGTTTGTTCAAACCCGCTGGCCGACGTCCTGGGAAAGCCCGAGGGCGAGAGGTGGTGAACGTAGGCAAAGAAAGCTCGGTTGTCCGAGTCCAACCAGGGGTCAGATAGCGACTGCTTTCCACCTTGCCAGTTAGCGTCACTGTGCCAAAGGGTGCATGTCTCCCTTGCTCAGGAGGCTGCAATGATACACCCTCAGATGCTTCGATGTCCCAAGTCAACCAATACAGCCTGGGTCTACGGGCCAAACTGACCCCCATAGCATCTATGGCCCAAGGCAAGCTTCCAAAGGCGTCACTCATAACTTGACGGTCGGTGTCATCCATTGACTGAACCGACTCCATCAAAGAATGAACCTGAGCCCATGGGAAGGCCTTCCGGACCAATTCTCGGATGCGAGGCACATGAACGTGCAAACTACTTCGATGATCCCTCAGGGCACCACGCCTATCCACATTGAGGCCACTGACCCCTTGGCATGGGGGCCCAGCACCCAGGATCACCAATCCCACCTGGGTGAAAAGGCAGGACCATTCCTTGACCATATCTGCATCCACTTGTTCAACAGAGTCTACAAAAATGGTTCCAGGGAACTTAGCCTCCAGTACCCGAGAGGCCGTGCTGTTAACCTCCACACTGATGTGACCAGCGACGGGCAAGCCAGCAGAATCCGCCGCAACACGCAGAGCCCCTATGCCATCGAACAGCCCAATCGTCAAAACCTGGGTCATCTCCTCCAAGGCTGGCACGTCTCCCCTAACTTGACAGGAGGCGGCAATTTGCCCCAAGTTTGAGAGCCCACGGCTAACCGTGACACCCCCACCAGATGTTGAAGCATCACTTGCAGTAACCACTGGACTGGGAATGGTCCTGAAATCCATCCTCGCTAAAGGCAGTAACGCCAGAAAGCGCAAGATTTCAAGCTGCACAACCTTGGGGATGTCCAATCTAATTACCGAGGGGTATTGATTGAATTCCTCGATGAATTTCCAGATGGCGTTGAGGCTTCCCATTAAGGCACGGCGAAACGTAGCAATGTACACGAGACCCCCAGCAACCACTTGCATTTCCTTTTGACTACAACGTCCTGCTGTCACGGTGAGGATGGCCAGCTGAGAATATTTGATGATCTTCTCAGGTTTCGGATAGGCACACCCCTTGGCTCCATCTACCACTGCCCCTTGGACCTCCGCCCGCACACTCCGCTCCACAGCTTTGCGGGGATGCCGTGGAATGCCCCAGTATTCATACTCTTGACGCAGGGATAAAATGGAGGGTGTAGGTGACCCCTTGATGACCTGTGCCAAAGAGCGGTCCACACGCTCTAGTTCATCAAAGTTATCCAAATAGATTCGATGGATCACTTCCGGTCGGGAAAGGCCTGTCCTTCCGAAGCTCCTGATGAGGCTTTAGGCGAGCCTCAAGTCCGCTTCCCGCACGTTGCACAATAGTGCGATGTATGTGCTGTGCAATACTAACGGAATTTTTGAATCCCATCGGTAATACCTTTGCCACCAGTACATGACGATCTGCGCGATGAGGATGGAAACGAGGGGAAACGGCCTTATTGAAACCGAGGAAACGATGCCAGGTTGGCGGAACACTGAAGATGTAGAAGAAGCATTTGATATCTTCGGAAGAAATCAGAAGTTCCTCTGTGGGCATTAAGAACAGTGGGCTGGACGAAGACCAAGCCGGCAACGTGGCAATATCACCCTGGATTGCACGGACAATGTTGTTGAGCGGGATAAGATTCATGATCAATCTATGGACTTCGTGTCCTTGAATTGATTCACCTTTTGACACCCCGAACAGGCCACTGAGCAGTGGCTTGCCCTTGACATGGTATAACTCTGATTCCGCCATGACACCACAAATTCCCGACTTTATCAACCCTTCACACATTCGATCCCAGTCGTGGTCAGTCACCATGACTTTCGGTGGTTTTGTATAGGTCATAGAATCTTTATCCAGAAGAAATTCCTCAAACCGGTCTACATAATGGCGGCAACCATCTCCAACCACGTCTCTCAACGGGACACTTCCTACCTCAGTAGGTATTGCCGACTGGACGTTTGCCCAGGAGGTGATGCGAGCTGTGGCCACCTCATCTCCCACATAGTCTAAACTCCGCAGCTTGAAGAAACTTTGCCAAGAAATTTCTCCCAAGCGCTCTGGCCACTCATCAACCTCCCTTACCATCTCACACAAGCCTTCCAAGAAATACCTCTGTAAACTAGAGACAGGCCTGTTACACTCCACCTTGCACCCTGCGTAACTATTCAAACCCAAACACACACAAGACAAAACCACAACCAAATCTTCGCCCAGATTTCCCAACCCTCTCAGTTGGTCCGTGCCGGTGGGCCACGGAAAAACGTCGCCCTTGGTCTGGGTCTCACCGTGTCGAAACTCTATTTGTTTTGAAACAGAGATCAGCAGGGACCTAATAAGGGGGGAAACCTGGGGAAACAAAAGACCACTCAAATTTTCAACTTCAAACGAAACGCCCTGACTCTCCTCAACTGCCGCTCCTTTTTTCTGACCACTGACGCTCGAGCTCGACTGTGCCTCTCCTAGGAGGTGACTGCTAATACCTCCGCTGCATCGGCTAGGAGAAGACAGCGCCGCGCCACCATCCGCGCAGCCCCAAAGCTCCGGAGTCATCATCTGCTCTTTGGAAAACTGGTAGTTGGTATCCAGCAAAGTCGGACCAACATTAAGCGCCGACCCACTCCCCTTCAGATCATCACTAGGAGTGGGATTCCCCGTCACGGGCCTACAAACTGTAGCCAGGCCCGGATGGAGAATCTTCCCATGGGCATCAAATGGCTCTTCATGGGGCTTGAAAAAACCTTCTGCACTCTGGTCGACTCCCCTGATATCTGAAAGGAGTGACATCCTGTTCCCTCTAGCTCCCTTGCCTAGGAGCTCCTCTTGCTCTCCTCCTTCTCGCTGCCTTTTTTGCCCTTGCCTCGATCCTTGCCTTTCTGATCGCCTTTTCCACTGGGACGCCAAGCTCCTGCCCCAGTGTCTGTTTTTCCTTTTTCCTTTCCCTTTGTCATCTGCCGGGTTTTGCTCTCCTGCTTCTCCTCTCTTGCAGCCTCCTGGGCTTCCGCTCTGCTTGACAAGCGCCCCCGTTCGGGGGGGACTACTTCCACTCGTTGTGAGACAGCCCAGCTGGCTCCTCCCGCAATCATTTCCAAACTCTTCAGTCTTTGGCTGAGGCAATCGGCTGCTTGAGCCATTTTGCCTTGCAAAGCCAAATCCAACGCCCAGGAGAGCGTCAAGGCCTCCCTGCTGGCCCCGCCGCTCAGCCTGGGGGCAGCTGGGACCTGTAGTACTGCAGGGACACTGGGGGGACTGCCGTCTTCTCGGTGTCCCACAAGGTCCCAGCTGCTGTTAGAAGCTGCCTCTGCATCTCCTTGACCATGCTGAAGGTCAACAGCCCAGGGGCCTTGCGGGCCAGCCGTCGAACCTTGTGGGTCTCCTCGAACACCTGCCCGGACTCGCTGGAGTTCAAGGTTGACACCTGCGAGCTCCCTTCCAAGGAGCTGCCGCTGCTCCCTGAGCTGGAATCTTTTTTCTTTTTCATCTTCTTCTTCCATCTCCTCAGCAGGCGCTTGCGCACCCGAGGATCCGGATCTAATCCTGTGCTGCCGTAAACTGCCTCCAACCCCTTCTGGGATGACAGCTTCCTCTTCTGCCCCTTGGTCTTGTCCCGGGGCAGACTGCTGGAATCCGAGCTCTTTTCTCCTCTTGCCTTCTTTTTCTTTTTCTTTTTCTTCTCTTTCTTTGACTCCTCTTTTCTTTTTGCGGGTTCTGCCTCCTCTGCTTCTCTCCTCAGAACTGCCAACTCGTCGATAGCTCCTTTGAGATTCTCGGTCCAATCCTCCTCGTTCTCTCTTCTCTTCAACCGGAGCCTCTTGGCATGCACCAAATCCTTGGCGTCCAACTTCGCATCGCACCCTTCTCCGCAAAGATGAAGACGCAAAGGGACCCCCGGGTTTCCTGTCACCCACTTCAGCAGCTCCTCGTGAGTAGTCCCTTCCACTTGAAGGCGGACCTCCAAATCCGAAGGACCTCTGATCAGCAGGTTCTTGACCACCCCACATAGTTTGCAAGGAGAGCTCCAATACTCTCCCTCAGCCACCAGCAAGGTTCCTTGCCCCAAACGCCGCACAGGAGCTTTAGAAGCAGAAACCAACTCCCCAGCAATGAACTTTTCCTCCTCAGCCAAGTCACCACTCACCGCCTCACGCGGTTCAGCTTCACCAGCAGGCCTACGCAGGCCCAGGTGAACACCCGCTCCCCTCCTAGGAGCTGGTTTTGCCACCGGCTTCGCAGCAGCGGGCCGCCGCAGCTTGGGGGCCATCAACGATACTGGTAGTAGTAATTGTTGTAATCACGCCACACCTGCTGCTTCTTCCTCTTCGTCGTACCCTTGTTTTTGCCCCACCTTTCAAAACCCTCTTCTGGGTAGTCTCGATAACTCGAGCTGTGAGATCGGTAATGCCTAGTTGGACTTCGCCACCCTGGTGGTGGACTCCTGGGCTCTGGTGGACGTTGATCTCCCCTCCTAGGAGATCTCCTTGAGCGCGATCTAGTCCTTCGACGAGAACTCCGCCTCGACCTTCTCCGCGACCTGGACTTGCTCTTCTTTTTCTTTTTGTGTTTCTTTTCCTTCTTCTCTTTTGCCTCTGTCTCGGCTGGTTCCTCCTTTGTTTCTTGGCGATCTTTTTCTTTGCTCTTCTTTTCTTTTCCTTCGGCTGGCTCTATGGACTCCTTCTTGACAGGCAATGGCGATTCTTTCTCACCTTCCACGGCAACTTCTTCTTCGTTTCCCTCCGACGGAGAAGAGATAACCCCAGGAGAGACTTCGCTCTCCCTTGCAGGATCCTCCGCTCCTGGCTCAACCTTTGCTGATCCAGCGGGCGCCTGGGCTGAACACTCGGTACCAGCCACAGCAGGAGAGGCCGCCTTTGAGGTCGCAGCTGCCGCTGCCAATCGAGCTTCTTCCTGAAGCTTGGCTTTCTCCCACTTCTGCTCCTCTTCTTGAAGGATCGAGACCCAAACTCTGGTCTGATCTACGACCCACCCGCGCAAAGGCGGGCTGATCCGCCGCGCCTCGACGGTCAAGCGCCGCAAGGACCGGCAAAGGGAGCAGCAGCCGTCTATTTCAGCAAGGTATTGCTGACAGTCTGCGCACCCAATCATCCAAAGCTGAGCCGAAACTACAAAGAAAAAGTGCTGTCCACTCTCTCTTCTTTAATTCCGAGGTCGTTCTTTCATATTATGTGTATATATATATATATACGTATATATTATGTAGATATGGTTGCAAGGCGCAAAAAAGATCTAGAATCGGGGCGCACCCCAACAAAGGAGATTGACCAACAACTTGGGAATCAAAGCAGGAATTTCACTTGGAACCCCTGGCAGTTGCCATATCCAAAGACAAAAAATCGAGTTTTGGTCTCCATGTTCGCTTCCGGCTTCACCTTTCGATCAAATCCCGGAAGTGTTGCAGCTTGATATCAGCAAAAACATCTTAGTGAGGGTCTATTCATCATTCCATTAATTCCATTAAGGAAAAATAGTAAAACCGATAACCCTATAGTTTTGGTACAGGAACAAACCCTGCTTTCGAACACAAATCCGTTGGTTCCATCAGTCCCAACTGCGATGCACATCCCAATCAAAATAGGTCAACTATTTAGAGATCCAGAGTAATCCCCAAAATCTCATCATTTTTTGGTACATCCCCATGATATTCCACTACCATTGGTATCCATTGGTGATAATTATCCCCATTTATCTTGGCCATAAAAACACCTTCGGGTAATAGAACAGTTTTCTAAGGAAAGGCATCCGTTGAGTTCGATGACATTCCCATGAATAAGACCATGCTTGCATGTTAAATCAGCATTTTTGCGGGTTACATCACCATTTTTGCGCGTGAAATCACGATTTTTGGTGATTAAATCATTGTTGTTGCGGGTTAAATCATCATTTTTGCGCGTGAAATCACCATGTTTGCGGGTTAAATCACTAATTATTGATTAAATCACTATTTGTGCAGGTTAAATCATCGCTTTTGCGCGTGAAATCACCATTTTTGCGAGTTAAATCACTATGTTTGCGTGTGAAATCACAATTTTTGCACGTGAAATCACATTTTTTGCATTTTTTGCGTGTGAAATCACAATTTTTGGTGATTAAATCACTATTTGTGCGGATTAAATCATCGTTTTTGCGCGTGAAATCAGAATTGTATCACTATTTTTGCGGGTAAAATCCACCATTTTTGCAGCTTCACCGTATCCAGCTTATCACCGACTTGACGCCCAAGCGACAAGATCCTCCTTTTCGACCTCCTCCTCGGGGTCGCCGGTTTCCTGTGCCTGGTGCTGAAAAAATTTGACCCATCCCCTGGGGGAAGAACCATCCATTGACCAGGTATTTTGAGGTACCTAGGGACCTAGGGTAGCAGGGTTTTGACCCACCATATAATGGCTTCAAATTTTTAATTATCACCAAGCAACAAGATGATATTTCGTGGGATATAACTGATATAATGGGATATAGCTGGAGAATAATGATGATTTTTCGGAGGATCCAAGAATCGCCCCGTGAGATCCTGGCCTCTTTCTGAAGACGTAGCAGCTCCTGTTCGAACAGTGATAAACAAGGGGGGATTTCACGGAGTTCACCAGATGCTGGTGAAGTTGAACCACGATCAGAAATTCTATAGTTTAACCAGCACTTAAATGGAGATTTAAAAATAAAACAAATGGAGATTTTTGCCTTGATTTTAAGATATTTTAAGCAACATGATATGGGCCCGGTGAGTGTTTCCACAGCTTGGATTTCACCATTTCACCCCTTCTCGTCTCGGAACTGCCGAAGTCGGATGTCACTAGCTGTTGCTCTTTATGTTTCATATTGATGAACTACGATCCTTTGCCGAAATCAAATTACATGCCCATTTTGGGTAGATGGTGGCTTTGGGTTCATGTTCAACCCACTTCAGGACCGGACTTTCCACCTGTACTTTCTATCGATTTTAAGAATTTTGCAAAAACTTCCCCAAAAATCTCAGATTTGTCAGATTTTTCCCACCATTTTAAGATCCTCGACGATTTTTCTCAGATTTTCCCCACCCCACCTGCAATGGCAAAGACTGGCTCCGGTCTTCCCAAAACAGCTCCGTCTTCACCGGCCGCGAGCGCCGTGGCGCGGGCAAATTCGCACCCAGCATCGCGACTTTTTCGCAGTTTTTTCCCCGGGAATTGATGAGAAATTCGAGAGGAAACCACTGGAAACCATGGGAAATGACAGTCCAAACCACAGTTTCAACATGTTTTTCAAGGGCAGATTTTCGCAACGAAAACAAGCTGATTTTTTTGGGACTTGGTGAAATTTCGTGATAATTGAGTGGACATATCACATGGATATGTGTCTGAAATTGGGTATACCCATCATAAAATCACCATCTTCAGATGGAACGAGGGGCCAATCACTTTGAGAATCCTTGCAGAAGTTGAAACTTGAGCCACCCGAACATATTTACATAATTTTACATATATTTACAGATGGAGAGGCAACACATCTACAAATATGGGAAATCATTTTAGAAAGACTTTGAAAGCAACCAGAAGCTGGGTTGCAATGCTGGTGTCACATGTCATGGCCCCCCAGTGGCTCGAGCAGAAAGGGGCATGGGATTTCTCCGGATACTGCTTGGTCACGGAAAGGGTCATCTCCACTGCGTTACATCTAATTCCTAGGTTCGAAAGCTGCAAAAATAAAGACCTGACTAAGTGTTGCAATGGTGTACCCTGCTTAACTTCGCGTTGGAAGTCTTGAACTTTAAAGTTCAGAGCTGGAAAATCCCTGGTTTTTCTCTATAAACTGTGTAAATCCATCGCTTAACATCCTCTAGGAAGGACCTCCCCTCAAGTTATGTTTGTTAGTTTTTCCCCTCTAGTAAACTAACATAGCTATAGAAAATCACCATCTTTGAGTTCTGTAAATCAACTATTTCTATGGGCCATGCCATGTTCAATAGCTATGTTAAAATAGCTAACTGTTAAATTTTCAGAGGGTAACCCCCATCCAACTAGTCATAAGCCCCATATGCATCCAGCAGATTTCTGCTCATCGAGAAGCTGGGAAAAGTTCACCTCCTCATAGGGGTAGGCGACATCTTTCAGCGGAAGCTCCTGGTAGGCATTTCGGGATGGTTCTGGATGTCTATGCATATGATATGTAGGAAAAGTGCGTGCGTGTGTGTGTGTATATATATATATATGTATGTGTGTGTGTGTTATATAAAGAACAAAAATCCCACTAAAAAAAATAGTGCTAAGTGACTGTTCTATCTGTTTTTGGGGTGGTACTATATCGGTTGATATGTATATATGTGTATGTGTGTATGTGTGTATGTATGTATGTATGTATGTATGTATGGATGGATGGATGGATGGATGGATGGATGGATGGATGTATGCATGTATGTATGTATGTATGTATCTATATATATATATACATATATATATATATATATATTCGTGTATATATATTTATATACATATGATTGTGTGTATATGTTACACAATCGCATAGTACAATTATTGCTACACAGATATAGATGTAGAAACAATACACAAATAGAGATAGAGATCGACACCAGGCTATAGATATGTAGAAATAGATACAGATACAGAGATAGAAATCCATATATATGTAATATGATACGTATATTATCTATATATGAAAACATATTATATATTTATTTTAGATATATATATATATATATGTGATATATGTATATATGTAGATAAATATACATATACATACATATATATATATATATGTATGTATATCATTACAGTATATATCCATGATACTAGGGAAACATATGTTCTGTTATTCAACAAGTTGATGTCTTCAAATATCTTGAAAGGATAACGCACTTTGTTCACAAGCCATCAGGTATAACTGTATAACTATGTAACACCCGCCGGGGGACCACTAGAAGAACTGCGAATCGATTGCTTTTCGCCAACAGAATGCTGCCTATCAACGTGGTCAGCCAACAACATTGCGATATACACCACTAACAAAAAATAACATATTAAATATCGACAGGCGGATGCCATGATTTTATACGGCTTTCCGTAGGTCAATGCAAAATCTTTTCCAAACGGGTCATGCGGTATGCGAGGCTGCCCAAAAAGTGTGATTTTGGTCTCTGGGATCCTGGTGATTTCGGTCACTGGACGTCACTGGTCAGGGATCCTGTGGAGTTTCCCAGCGAGAAACCTCCAGTTAAAGGGGAGGCAAACCAGCTTGCCATGGCTACGATGATTACAACAGAGGTAAACGATTGGATTTTGAAGGTAATTACCTTTGAGGCAAACCCCACCTGGCCCCCTCTCAGAGTCATCCAGCCCCAGCCTGCAGATCAGAGTCGCTGAAAGCCCTCCCCTGATAGTCCAGCCTTGGAAAAGACTCGAACAAAGAACGCCGAACTTTTCGGCGGATTCTATAGCAAACCTGAAAAAAAACATGAGAAAAAGTATGAAAAAGTTGTACACCTGGAAATTGTGGGGAACACATCATCGAACGACCATCCTGGAAACACGTTTCTACCTTTTGGGGGGTTCTTACTGCGGAGAATCTCGAATTTCCGACCTCTGCAAATCAGACTTGGCGACGGAATATGCTTCATTCGCACTTGCACTATCTATATATATATATATACCACCAATGGAGCATACTGCAAAGTGGCCTATTGCCATGTGTGATTGCCATCTGAGCAGTTGGGAGTGATTCCGTACCTCAAACATCTTTCCCTCGGGTCCCTTCTCCTGTGTGAAGAATCCACCAACTCCATGGTGTTCATGACCGCCCAAAAAATGTTGCTTATATACGTCTCCCTATTTTCCTTCACCTGTAAGTTATGTGTGTGTGTGTATGTACACACCTATACATGTATGTATGTATGTATGAAAGATTGTAGTCATATGGGGGGGTTCCTAAAGTGGGGATACCCCAAAATGGATGGTTTGTAATGGAAAATCCTATTTAAAATTATTTAAATAAGTTTAAATGAATGATTTAGGGGGTAGCCCTATTTTGGGAAACCTCCATATGTATACATCATCGCTTGGGCACAAGCCTATGGCTCTATGGACTCGTCTGGATATGTCATCCAATATTTCATCCCACATCCCCCAGGCGTCTTCAATCCATTTCGAGGATGGCACTTTTTAGAGCCACCTGATCAGGATGGACATCTGCTGCCAGGTTAGCTCCAAAATACCGAGCTAAAAATGGAAAAAGGGCCGATTTCGGGATATCCACGGGCATAGAACCAACCCGAATTGGGAATATGAAATCACAGCAATCTGCCGCTACCAACTGGAGCTGAACATGTTCATCCCATTCCAAGCAGGTCGGTGCTTGGGACCATCGATAGAACATCATTATATCATTGAAAGATGCTGAAATCACCACCTACTTGGCTTAGCCAAGAATATTTCATGGTAGACTTGCTAACACATATGGTAGCAACACAATAGGCTTGAAGAAATATATTTCTAGTTAGCTTTGCCGTTCAGAAAACACTTGAATCGACTTGCCAACCCTCCTAGACACTTGCTCAGAGGATGAGGACCAATATGGCATGGATACAGTAGATGGGTTAATATCTACAGTACCAGGTACCAAAATATATCCTCTGGTAATCACAGACGGCAACGGAAAATCCCTCGTTTATATCGTTTATAGTTTTGCATTGAAGCCTACATTTAGATATTTTAGATGGGGATTTCCCGCCCACATGTTTGATGACACGAAATATGTAAATTCAGGCCCTGGAATGCCCAGAAGTGCCTCCGGCCATGCGATTGGAAGCTCTGTCAGTCACAATTCTGCCGGGACGACAATGCAGCTCTCATCAGTGCGGTTACTTTGATTCGGAATTCTGTATGATTCTTTGATGTTGGGTATATTGTGTATTGATGGTTTATATGCCAAAGCCATCCATCATTTTTCCAACGATATCAACCCAGGAGTGCCAAGCATTTTCGGTTGATTGGACGGTTTGGTCTGGTGGGGCGATAGCTTTCCAAAACTCCCCGCAAACTCATCAGCCTCCGAGTTTAACAATTCACCAACCCAAAATGTCTCCATCCCAAACAGCAGGAAGTCACTGGTGTCACTGGTGTTCTGCCCTAATCTGGGATCTTTTGACTCGCAGCTTTCTCTACGTGGCTGCAAAATGCGATCAATATCTATTCCATGTGGCGTGATCTTTCGTGACGTTCCTGCATCCCCCGGCTTTGAGCATGTGATCCACGTACAGCAGCGAGCGGATTTTTTCAACCAGTCCATCCCATTAGAAAAGGTCTGGTTTTGGGTCCCCTTACCTTGCAAAACACCATGTTTGAAACTCTGGATGTGGTATAATTTTAATCTACAACAACCCCCGAAAAGATACCAAACAGTAGTTCCAGTTCCAGGATAGTTTTTGATTGGATGGTTTCGCCATCATTTCCAGGTTTCGAACATGTTTCAACTGTTCTGTATTTTTGGTGGTTGCAATCTATATATATATATAAAAGTCAAAGATGGCTTGGTGGGAAAAATATTGATAGATAGATGGTTTTCCCAGCTAGAAACCTCCATGACTAGCTCGGGGATTTCCAGAACTAGCCATTTTCATTTACATTTAGTTCGAGGATTTACCATACTTATCCCATCATGATATCCCAAATTCATCCCATAATCATCCCACCATATTTATCCCTTGATTATGGGTGAGATTTATCCAGTACCCGTAATTATACCAGAATCATCTCATAGTTACGAGTATCCCGTTATTCCGCAATGTTTATCCCATGATATCCCATAGTTCTCCCATGTATCAAAAACAGGCAACAAAAACTGCTTAGATATTAAAACTCAGGTATTGTCTTCATACCATGATATCACATCATTATCCCACAATTAAAACAGTTATAGGTTGATTTATAATCCCCTTTATCTATAGTATACAGAAGTATATAGTTATATCCCCCTAATGAACCCTCGTTGTTGGAGTTATAAACCGACTTTGCAAACTATGGGGCCCCCACCCTAATAGATTTTCACATACCCCGAAGAGGCATGGGACCCCTATAACTCAAACAGTATTAGGTAATATTAAACATATATAATCCATATTTAATCCATGTTTCTAGGGTATGTTCAATTGGGATATATGAAAATATA